GTACATAGTAAAAACTAAAAAAAAAATCTTCTCATGACAATCTTATAGAGCTAGGGCTTAGATATTTGGCATAAAAAATCTTCTAGTGGATGTCTATCAAGTTTGTTCTAATAAAAGCCCTAGGGTCAAAATTGGCCCCACCCTAGCGGTCATTGATTTTCCTAATATGTATATAGTAAAATCTATTTGTGAAAATCCAAAAAAGGCAGAGCTTAGATATTTGGCGTGAAACATTTTCTAGTGGATGTCTACCGAGTTTGTTCAAATGAAACACCTAGGGTCAAAATTTACCCTTGTCTAAGGGTGTCTTTGATTTTCCTAATATGTATATAGTAAAATCTTCTTGTGACAATCCAAAACCTCTATAGATTAGATATTTGGCATGAAACATCTTCTAGTAGATATCTACAAAGTTTGTTCAAATAAATGCCCTAGAATTAAAATTGGCCATGGCCTTGCACCAGGGGTCATTGATTTTCTTATATATGTATATATATGGTAAAAACTAAAAAAAACTTTGTTTTTTTCTAATAAAAGCCCTCGGGTCAAAATTGACCCGGCCACAGTGATCATTAATTTTCCTTATATATACATGTATATAGTAAAAACTTAAAAAAATCTTCTTGTGAAAATCCTAGACCTAAAGCTTAGATATTTGGCATGAAACATGTTCTAGTGTGTCTACCATGTTTGTTGAAATAAAATCCCTAGGGTCAAAATTGGCCCCACCCCAGGGGATCGAGTTCGACAGTTCAAATGTTTGTTTTCCCTCTCTTTTTCTATCATCTTTTCATTAGCTCACCTCTCACTTAATGACAGGTTGAACTGTTTAATTAAATTAGAAAACAACATCTAAACAACATCATAACCACTGGTTCAGTTTTGAAATAATTTTACACAAAAACTTGGTGTACAAATATTTTCAAATTTGCTTCTGGGGTGAAAAGGGCTACACTTTGACCTTTTGACCTATTTTTCAGGTGAGCGATCCAAGGCCCTCTGGGCCCACTTGTTACAATTTTTTTGTTATCATGAGGATATTTAATATGAAACCTGTTTTAAAAAATCATGAATTCAAAGTATGTTCTGCAATTTACAGACTAAGCTATCACCCCTAAATAGTGGACAGTTCTGAACCATGACATACTCAATCCCCTCTATATTGAAATTTGTCTTTGAATTTCACAAAGTTACAGAGCAGTGTAAATTAAACTCTATAATTATGTAGCCACAGCCCCCCGTAAGGGGCCAAATGTCAAAGAGTGAGGAAAATGTGCAGCCTGACTGGGACTCAAACATGAGACCCTCGGAATACCGTATCTCGGCTCTACTGACTGAACTGTCAGGCTGCTTACACATTATCTCCCCTAATTAGTGAACAGTTCTGAACCGTGCCCAATATTTAGGGATATCAGCATAAAAATTAAAACTTAATCAAACAAAAATATAGAGCCTGGTCAGCCTGCACAGATACATGTATGTAGACTGGTCTGGCTCTATACTGATGGCAATGCCTTATGAGTTGTTATTTTTTCAGCATGTTAAATGTTTAAGCCCTCAATAATAGTGTATTTGCAACAGCCATAATCTCTTAATCCAATTGTACCTGTCTATTGGTGACTGGTAAAGGTGGTCAGTTTTAATTGATTGATAATTGAGGGTAAGGATCATAGCACAAAGTAAAGCCCCTAGCACTATAACTGTACAATAATTCATCCTGTAACAATGTGACAAAATACAGGGTCACATGATCTTACTCTTCACACTTTCACAAGATAACAGTTAATGCCAAGTTATTTTCATGTACATGTAGTAGAAAGTACAGTTGACCAACAACATTTTGAATTTAGATTTTTGCAAATGCTTTACATGTAAGTAGCCTATTTATTCATTGAGAAACATAAGAATGTTAATTTAAACTGTTAATTTACTTTCTTGTATATTCATTTAAACAACTTTATTGTCAATTTTAGGTTTTCCTGTAATGATGAATTTCAAAGTTGTCTACTTGTAAAGTTGTCCACATTCACATTATACATGTACTATTTAAACATTAATAGCAAAATGTATTTTTTTGGCTCACCTGTCAAAAAGTGACATTGTGGGCTTTTGTGATTGATTTCCGTCTGGCGTCTGTCAGGCGTCCATAAACTTTCACTTTGAACAACATCTCCTAATAAACTGCTGAGCCAATTTCATCAAAACTTCACAGGAATGCTCCTTTGGTGATCATCTTTAAAAATTGTTCAAAGAATTTAATTCCATGCAGAACTCTGGTTGCCATGGCAACCAAACAAAAAAAACTTAAAAAATCTTCTTTTAAAAAACCCAAAGAGCTAGAGCTTAGATATTTGGCATGAAACATTTTCTTGTGAGTCTCTACCATTTTTGTTCAAATAAAAGCCCTGGGGTCAAAATTGGCTCCGCCCCAGGGGGTTATTTTTTTCCATTATATATGTATATAGTAAAAACTTAAAAGATCTCCTTTTAAAAAACCCAAAGAGGTAGAGCTAAGATATTTAGCATGAAAAATCTTCTAATGGGTGTCTACCAAGTTAGTTCAAATAAAAGCCCTGGGATTAAAATTGGCCCTGCCCTGGGGATAATTGTTATACTTATATGTATATAGTAAAAACTTAAAAAATTTTCTTTTAAAAAACCTACAGAGATAGAGCTTAGATATTTAGCATGAAACTTCTTCTAATGGGTGTCTACGAAGTTTGTTCAAATAAAAGGGGTTAAAATTGGCCTGCCCCAGGGGTCATTGTTTTTCCTATAATTATGTCTATAGTAAAAACTTTTAAAAAATCCAAAGATCTAGAGCTTAGATATTTAGCATGAAACATCTTCCCTATATGTATATAGTAAAATCTTCTTTTAAAAAACCCATAGAGCTAGAGCTTAGATATTAAACATGAAACATCTTCTAGTGAGTGTCTACCAGATTTGTTCAAATGAAAGCCCCAGGGTTAAATTGGCCTGCCCTGCGGGTCTGATTTTTCTTACATGTCTATAGTAAAAATTATGTTAGAATAATAAAAAGAAAGGAAGTAAAAAAAAAAATGTGATTGAGAGACATATAAAGAGGTAACCAGGTAAACCTCTGTGCTGCATCCATGAAATTTTGATGTCATTTGTCTTTCACCACTGACTCAGAAATCATGATTTGTTGATAGTCACTTGTTGAGAAATTGATTATTATGAGTTATTAAATATTTCTACTGTGTGACTAACGCAGTAAAGATTGTTGTTGCAAATTTTTACATCTTTTTTGTTATTGATGTGAATTTTAAGTGCCATTTGCAAAGTGCAAATTACTTTTTTTGTTCACTTCACAATATTTTACTTTTAAATGCATTTTCATGAACATAAGCATGGATCTGGAGGCATGCTGCTTTAAAAAAAAAACAGAAAAAACAAACAAATTTTTGACAAATGGAATATTTTAATCAAGAAATAGACATGTCATAGCAATTTATGTTAGTAAAGACAGGGACAAAAGGACATGACAAAGTCAAGTTAGATAACTATGTCAACCATATTTATGGTGCTGTCGCCATTTCCGGAGCTCAGAGGAATGGCTTCATCATTTTTGTAAATTGGTCACTGACATTAATCATTGCCTGGGGCTTTTCTATTTTATATAGCTAAATATTTAAATATTAAATAATATAATAATATAAAAAATATTTAAAATATTCTTGAAATAGAATTCACGAATTCGAAAACCTAGCTAAACGCCGTTTTCCGGTACTTTCTGTACATAGCTCTGGGGAATTCACCTAATTGAGTGTAATAGCGAACTCGATGTTTTCGGCCTTTTTTAAATTAAATTGAAATAAAACAGTTATGTCTTTATAAGAAAATAATTAAATATCATTGTAAGAATAATTCCATACAAAAAATAAAGTAAATACACAAGTTTACGCAGAAAATAACCTTCTTTATTATCAATATGTCTGTTTGAATTTTATTGATTTTCATTACAAATAATTTATTTTTTTGAATAATTTGCAATAAATATTAAAGGAATATTGATAATTTTCAAAAACATCAATTTTTTTCACCTTAAACGGTTAAATAATGATAGAAAATAGAAATATCACTTAACTGTTTTATGTACTTCATTTGGTGTAATTCCCCAGAGCTAAAACGGTAAAGTACTGGAAAACGGTGTTTAGCTAGGTTTTCGAAAAGGTCAATGAATAGAAATCTCATTGTTTTTAGCTCGACTATTGGATAAGAATAAGTAGAGCTATTGCAGTCACCCGAGCGTCGGCGTCGGCGTCGGCGTAACCACTTATGTTAAAGTTTTTGTAATAGTTCAAATATTTTCAAAGTCCATTGACATATGGCTTTGACACTTTGCACACTTGTTCACCATCATGACCCCAACTTGTAGACAGGAGGAGGTAACTCTATCAAGCATTTTGACAGAATTATGCCCCTTTTTCGACTTAGAATTTATGTTAAAGTTTTTGTAATAGTTCAAATATTTTCAAAGTCCATTGACATATGGCTTTGAAACTTTGCACACTTGTTCACCATCTTGACCCCAACCTGTAGACAGGAGGAGGTAACTCTATCAAGCATTTTGACAGAATTATGCCCCTTTTTCGACTTAGAATTTATGTTAAAGTTTTTGTAATAGTTCAAATATTTTCAAAGTCCATTGACATATGGCTTTGAAACTTTGCACACTTGTTCACCATTATGACCCCAACCTGTAGACAGGAGGAGGTAACTCTATCAAGCATTTTGACAGAATTATGCCCCTTTTTCGACTTAGAATTTACCTTAAAGTTTTTGTAATAGTTCAAATATTTTCAAAGTCCATTGACATATGGCTTTGAAACTTTGCACACTTGTTCACCATCATGACCCCAACCTGTAAACAGGAGGAGGTAACTGTATCAGGCATTTTTTTTACTATTAAGCACTAAGAATAGTCGAGCGTTGCTGTCCTACCGACAGCTCTTGTTTTTCTACATGTCAGAATGAGAGGAAAAGAAAGTACGTCGAGCGGACGGCAATGTCATGTTACTAAAGATGGAAATTCTAGAAGAGCCAAATATAGTAACAGGGGATCCTACACATTGTCAACAGTGCGATGCCATTTTGTCTTCTACATCGGTCCTAGAGAAAGAAGAGGAAGGTGATAAATATACATGGCCTTGGTATATACATGTTATTTACTTTTTAATTTCTATATATAGGTATACAATCACTACATATACAAGGGCATCATAAGACACTGAAATAATAGATATAATTGGTACAGAGAATCATAACGCATATACTGAAAGGTACCTAATTATTCTAAATACAAAATGTATAAAGGTTAACAGGCATTGAATATTATTAGTTATATATTTTTGACATATTTGTTTATATGACACTATATAGATGGTTGTTGGCATATATAACAGAATAACCATTTAATATATGGCCATATAACCTGTCAGGAATCTTTATAACAAATTAATTATACAGCAAACTTCCTTTTTAGCTCGACTATTCGAAGAATATGAGAGCTATTGTAGTCGCCCCGGCATCGGCGTCGACGTCAGCGTATTTGAGATATTCAATTGAAACTTACAATACTTATTTATAGTAACAAGGTACATCAAATTGACAAGTTGGATAACTCTGCCTACAATATTGACAGAATTATGCCCCTTTTTAACTTAGAAATTTTGGTTAAAGTTTTTTGTAAAGTCAAATATCTCAATTATTGCTTGAGATATTCAGTTGAAACTTACAGTACTTATTTATAGTAACAAGGAACATCAGATTGACAAGTTGGATAACTCTGTCTACAATATTGACAGAATTATGCCCCCTTGGAACTTAGAAATTTTTGTTAAAGTTTTTTTGTAAAGTCATATATCTCAATTATTGCTTGAGATATTCAATTGAAATTTAAAATACTTTTTTATAGTAACAATGTACATCAGTTTGCAAAATTGCATAACTCTGCCTGCAATATTTGCAGAATTATTTGCCCCTTTGAAACTTAGAAATTTTGGTTAAAGGTTAAAGGTCTTCAAAGGTATTTACTTGAAACTTTACACATGCACTTAGGATCATAATTGTATGTCACTGACCAAGTTCCATAACTCTATCTTGCATTAAGGCTTATTCATATCCCCTTTTCTACTTAGTCTCTTGGTTAATGTTTACATGCAAGTTTTACATATCTCAATAACTATTAAAGATATTTATTTAAAACTTCACATTTGCATTTAGGGTCATAACTGTAGGTCACTGACAAAGATCCATAATTCTATCTTGCATTTAGGCTGATTTTTCTCCCCTTTTTCAACTTAGAAATTCATGGTAAAGTTTTGCTTGTAAGCTGTTATCTCAATAACTACTGAAGGGTTTGTGCTTTTTTGGGACAATTTTATGCGTTCATAATAATAAAGCAGTGATTTACTTGATAAAACATCTTAATAACAAGCCTTTGTACCTTTTCTGTCAAATTAATGTATTCATAGGTAATTAGTATTGTTATACTCAATAAAACACCCTTGTGACATTACCTTCCGAAAAGTCAAGCCACTACTGTATAATTAGACTCTCTCTAAGGCCTATAACATGAATTTATAAAAAAAAATTAGCCCTTTTGTGAACTTAAAAAATTTAACATTATCAAGGCTCTTTTACTATCAAGCACTTAGAATAGTCGAGCATGCTGTCCTACCGACAGCTCTTGTTTTTTTAAAAATGGACATTGAAATAATTTTCAATGGTAAATTTCAACAGTGTGACAATATAATGACAGGCATTCATTTACCATTTGGTGTTCAGAATCTATAATACAACATTATAGAATGGTAAATGTATAGATGGTAATTGAACTTTAAATATATACTATGCTTAAATTTGATGTTTGAAAATATTGAGAATTGCTACACAGTCTCTTTGTAAACATGACATGAACATGTTTTGACTTTATTTAAAGTACATATGACATGTTTTAAACCCTACACACTATATGTGGACACAATATGAATATATAATGTCATTAAAAAAACTGGCAGTATTTTTAAGAAAAGACCAACTTAACTTGCCCCGTAATAAGGAATGCAGCTTCCCATACATAGTTTACACATTCTTTTACACAAATTAAACATATTCTGAGTAAGACTTTCATGGATTTCAATACATTTATGCAATAGAAATATTTTACCTAAAGCCAAAGTATATCTTTAATGATATAGCAATGTTTTAATGAAATGAAATGAAATCAAATATGAAATAAAATAGTATTGCAACAATTTTATTCCAGTGAGTTTTGTGAGTGCAAGAATACAGGATTAGACATTACACCAGAGGAGGTTCCTAAAGGGGACAGTTTTGACTTTGTGTTGACCCCGGCTAGACAAGAGAGTGAGGAGGCTGAGGCAGAAGGGGCTATGGAAGGGGAGACAACTCCTGAGAAGAAAGAGGAGAGTAAAGGAATGGTTGTTTATTGTATGGACATAAGTGGGTCCATGGCTAGTAGTGTGAGACTCTCGGAATTACAAGGTATATTCTACCACAAAATATTTACAGTGTAGCCTCTGCAGAGCAACCCCTCTGTAGAGCAATAACCTCTTTATAATGACAGTTTAATGACAGTTTTTAACTTTTCCCATTGATTGTAATACTTCACAATAAAATTTACCTCTCAAGAGCAAAACGTAAAATCTTTGTGAGTTGTTCTGCAGAGCTTGTACTGTATGTTAAAATTAATTTTGGTTTTAACATAATTATTTTACATAAAATCCTGAAACAAGATTCAACATTTAGACTAACTGTTGAGTCTGCTTAATGGAATAGACCAGTATTGGTGTCATATAAGGAAATTTGATCTCCACCCAAGTTATGGTTAAAGAGGAAGTGACTTGAATTTGAAAATGTAAAGATTATCGGTAAAATTAAATTAATTTAAAAAAAAAAGTTATATCCAGGGGTGTTGCTGTGAATCAAAATATGAGTGTATCAGTGTAATTTGCAAGAAAGATTTATAATATTTTCCTTAAAAAATGTTTTCAAAATAAATGTGACATCTTTAAGACAAAAACATGAAATTGTAACCCTTTTCCATTTTAGTAATAATTTATTATAATTTTTTGTGTTGAATTTTTGTTTGCCTCCCAAAAAAATCAAAACTGTTGTTATTTCAGCACAATGGAGGAATGCCAGAGACAGAACATCCCATCCTGATAACTCAATATCTAGACTTAAGGCTATCAAAGATGCTGCTAGAAGGTAAACTTTACAATCTAGCCCTGAAACCTGCGGATTTGCCCAGGTATTGAATTTGGGACGTTCCATTTCAAATTGTTAAGGGATAACCAATTAAAATTTCAAAATACAAAAACTGTGCTGTTACCAAAGTAACAGTTTTGTGCCTGGTCAGACTGCATGGATGCACAGGCTTGCCTGGCACTATCTTTTCACAAAGGCTGGTCCTTTTCCAGCAGGTTAATCAGTCAGAATGGTCACCTCTGCAGGTAAATGTATCGTCACCTTAGTGCAGTAATGGGTTAAGTCGTTCTAAATTTAATAGGATTTAATCAGTTATTACACTAAGGTGGCGGTATGTGCTTTTATATGATCTTGAGGTTATTTATTATAGTTGTGCATAGGTGACAACAGTAACCACCAGGGCATGCTTTCCTTTGAAATTTTTAAATATTGTCTTGAGATTGTGTACATAGATGATGTGGGTTTTTTTATCACATATACTATGGCACAGGAGACTTTAATAATATAAAGCCATTTAATAAAAACAGTATTACACTAGTGTAATAACTTTGACGTGATGTCATTAGTGTTATATACAAGCATTTGGTTAAAGCACCCTTATGTTAGGGTTACACAATAAGCGTGTCAATGAAAAATAACTTTATTTAACTGTAAACCATTCTTACATGTATTTTGTAAATGTGATAAATATTAAATTTGTGTAGATTCAATACTAAATTTGTTGAACTCGTTGAATAAAAATATTATTCTTGCCAGTTTCTAGCATAATATAATTTCATTCAACTTGTTTAATAAATTTAGTATTAAATCTGCACAGTACACTCATTCAATATCAACTATTTACAATATTTTCAGACAATTAGAAAGAATGAAGATTGAGTATCAAAACAAACAAGTGGCTTTGGTTACTTTTGGTTCGACTATTTACCTTTGGGGTGATTTTCACACATATAATGCTAAATCATTTACTGGAAATATCATCAATGACTATGACGGCCTAATAGCTGCTGGAAGAGAGTATGCAACAACCATGGAACTTGGAGGACTTGAAAATACCTTTGAGTGAGTTTGATTTATTTGTTATTTTGCACTAGTTGAAATGAGCAAGGATTTTGCATTCTGTCTGACCTCTTAGTACTAAATGGTTTTGGTTTGGCACAAAGATTGCTAGCTAAGGGGTATGGCCAATCTGCAGTATTTGGGGCATTCAGCTACAGTACCCTATGGTCCTGAACAAAACTCATTATACATAAATCATGCTTCCTGAACAAGAATTTGCCCAGCCCTGTGGGTTGCTTAGGTTACATTGACCTTTAGGAAAATCAAGATACATAAGCTTTTGGTCATCTACAAAAATTAGATATATTATGCTATTAAGTCAAAATGACCTGTCCAGTAGATCATTTGATTTCAAATTTGGAACACAAGTCATGCTATAATCAAAATTTATCTTTAGATGACTTTAAACAGAACCTAGTGAACTTCAATGTACCTCTGCATTATGAAAAACTTAAAGCATGAAACACAGGTAAGCCATCTAAGGCTATCATGGCTCTCTTGTTAAACGGAGTACAATGTTAAGATTTCAGTGAAGAAAAAAATTGTTGTAAATTTTGCAAAGCACATTTTTATGATGGACTTTTGTAAAACAGACAATTCAGTCCATATATCAAAACAACATATTTGTATATTAACTTTTTATTCTTTTTCCATGTAGACATTTAGACAGGAAAATTGGTAACCTGAGAACAGAAGGTTGCACTGCACTTGGACCAGCATTAGCTATAAGTGCAGGAATTGTTGCTGGTTCCCCTATATCTGAGGTAGTGCTGTGCACAGATGGGGAACCAAACACCGGAGTTGGTAACCTCGACACACCAGCTGGAGAGCTTTTCTATTAGAAGGTAAACAATGTGTGACTCTTTTTCATTTTTGTTTTAATTCAGACATTTGGACCAAACAATTAATGGTTTGCATACAAGAGGGTATACTGCACTTGGTCCAGCTTTGGCAATAAGTGCTGGAATGATTTCAGGCCTCTAACAGTCTAAGGTGGTATTGTGTACTGGTACTGCCTCTGTGGTCGAGGGGTTAGAGTCAATGACTTCTAATCCAGTTACCTCTCTGGCGTGGGTTTGATCTCCGGGAGATGCTTTGGTAGTTTAGCGCGGAGGAAGGTAGTCTAGTACTGGTGTAACTCTCCAGGAATGATGGTTAGGAAACTACCCGCCTATATGACTGAAATACTGTTGGAAAAAGTTGTAAAAATGAAACAAACAAACAAACAAAAGTATTGTGAACTGATGGACCAAATTATGGAACTGGAAGTTTAAATAGACATGGTGGACAAGAATTTTATAAAAGGGTAAAGTTGATGATGACTGTAATATTATTTCAGTATAACTTGACACAAATGTTGACTGTTGTGGGGCAAAGTGTGGGACCCAAAATTTTGGTCCTGTTGGTCTCAGCTAGTGGCATAATCAAGTTTGCTAGTAAAGGATCAATTTTATTAGGGAAATACATACTAAATTTGAGCCGCGTCATGACAAAACCAACATAATGGGTTTGCGACCAGCATGGATCCAGACCAGCCTGCGCATCCGCGCAGTCTAATCAGGATCCATGCTGTTCGCTTACCAACCCTATTACAAGTAGAGAAACTGATAGCGAACAGCATGGATCCTGATCAGACTGGGCGGAGGCGCAGGCTGGTCTGGATCCATGCTGGTCGCAAACCCATTATGTTGGTTTTGTCATGACGCGGCTCATTTATATTTTCACACATACATGTATTAAATGCACATTGAACAAACAAAAATGCAACAAAGTAGAATTATATTAATTAAGAAGTATGTTTTTATGCAATCATGGCTTGATAATTAGTAAAATTTGCTACTCTTAATGTTTGGTAACCTCTGAAATCGTGTTGTATATTTTGGCATTATGCTAAGCATTTGAAACCCTTATACATGTATATTACTTTGAAGTTGGTACCAAATTCAAAAATTGAATGGAATTTTTTACCTTGGTGTAATAGTTACAAACCTAATGTGTATACTTTTGAAAACAAAATCAATGTGTTTCTATTATGAACACTTCTTATTGTGTTTTTTTGCATATCAAACTTGCCCACTAATTTTTATACCCCCGCACAACAAAGTTGTAAGGGGGGTATACTGGAATCAGCTTGTCCGTCTGTCCGTCCTTCCGGCTGACCGGCCGTCCGTCCGTCGGTTTTTTCTTGTCCGCCCAATAACTTAAGATTCCTTTGACCCTTAGTCTTCATATTTGGCATGGAGGTTAGTCATGATTAGTAGATGACCCCTATTGATTTTGAGGTCACTAGGTCAAAGGTCAAGGTCACAGGGGCCTTGACTTCAAAAAGCTTGTCCGCCCAATAACTTAAGATTCCTTTGACCTACAGTCGTCATATTTGGCATGGAGGTTAGTCATGATAAGTAGATGACCCCTATTGATTTTGAGGTCACCAGGTCAAAGGTCAAGGTCACAGGGGCCTTGACTTCAAAAAGCTTGTCCGCCCAATAACTTAAGATTCCTTTGACCCATAGTCGTCATATTTGGCATTGAGATTAGTCATGATTAGTAGATGACCCCTATTGACTTTGAGGTCACCAGGTCAAAGGTCAAGGTCACAGGGGCCTTGACTTCAAAAGCTTGTCCGCCCAATAACTTAAGATTCCTTTGACCCACAGTCGTCATATTTGGCATGGAGGCTAGTCATGATAAGTAGATGACCCCTATTGACTTTGAGGTCACCAGGTCAAAGGTCAAGGTCACAGGGGCCTTGACTTCAAAAAGCTTGTCCGCCCAATAACTTAAGATTCCTTTGACCCACAGTCTTCATATTTGGCATGGAGGTTAGTCATGATTAGTAGATGACCCCTATTGATTTTGAGGTCACCAGGTCAAAGGTCAAGGTCACAGGGGCCTTGACTTCAAAAGCTTGTCCGCCCAATAACTTAAGATTCCTTTGACCCACAGTCTTCATATTTGGAATGGAGGTGAGTCATGATTAGTAGATGACCCTATTGATTTTGAGGTCACCAGTTCAAAGGTCAAGGTCACAGGGACTTTGACTTCAAAAAGTTTGTCTGCCCAATAACTTTAGATTCCTTTGACCCACAGTCTTCATATTTGGCATGGATGTTGATCATGATTAGTAGATGACCCCTTTTGATTTTGAGGTCACTGGATCAAAGGTCAAGGTCATAGGGACTTTGACTTCAAAAAGTTTGTCCACCCATTAACTTAAGATTCCTTTGACCCACAGTCTTCATATTTGGCATGGAGGTTGATCATGACTATAAAGTGACCCCTATTGATTTTGATGTCAATGGGTCAAAGGTCAAGGTCACAGGGACCTTGACAAAAAAAGCTTTTCTTCTCAATTGCTAAAGAATGTCCTGTCCGCAATGTATTGATTTTGACATTTTCACATTTGAAGCATGTAGAATACATAACTTAGCAATGCACTGGCTTAGTAACCTCAGATTTGGCAGGGAGGTTGTCATTGAGCTCTAAATGGCCACTGTTGATTCTGACAGAGTGGTATGCGGGGGTATTCACGCCATGATAGTGGCAGTTCTAGTTTTTTCTAGGTAGTCACCTTTTTCATATACATTGATTATGATTTTCAGATTGGAGAGTTTGCTAAAGAAAATAACACAAGGTTGTCTGTTCTGGCTGTGGAAGGACAGGAGACTGGACTTCGACATGTACAAGAATGTGCTGTGGTATCAGGGGGGACAATCAATGTTCTGAACCCCCTAGAAATGATGAGACAACTCCGTCTTATAGCTCAGAACTATACAATAGCTACAGCTGTAGATGTTACTGTGATACTACATCCAGATCTTGTCTTTGATGAAGCTGGGTACCAGGTGATTATTTTATTGCCTTATAGTGCTTTTTGCTTGATATTTATATTATGATAGAGAAGGGTACCAGGACTGGTAATCATTTAATTCCCATATACCTGCCTTTTTCCTTAATACACTTAACAAAATTCTCTTAAATTGCATATTTTATTAACTAAATTTCTGATTAGTCACCCTTTAAACTGCATTGTTTTGGAAAGTCTTAATTATGTTAATCTGTATAATATTATTGTACTTATTGGTCTGAATTATAGAGAAACGTTATAGCCAGAAAGTGTTTCATGGCAAGCTTTAGCGATAAACCTTCTCCTATCCCCACATCAACCATGTATTTGATTTATCCAGCTCTTATAAATATCCACCATAGGTGACCAAAGTTCAAACGAATGTTGTTGAGAAGTAGCCTTTAAGGTTGAGGCATCAGAATTGCATCCATTGTTTATCCCTGCATGATAATAAAAATCAACAAAATAGACTTGAATTGGTGAATTACTGGAGTCTATAAATATCTAAGCACAAGCAGGTAAAGTGGTTTTGACACCTGGTGTTGCTTTAATTTTGTAACACCCAAGGTTAGCCAAATTCATCTTTCCTGTTTCGGCACCATATGACCTACTTATGGTGTTGGCGTGGTATAAAACCAAACAAACAAAAAAAGGCAAATTTGAATCACAGCAGCACCAGGAAGTGTTGTTAAGGTGTTCAGGCTAGCCATATACTTAAAGCAAGGTATTTGTTGCCAAGATATCACACAAACCTGTTTATTTACAGGCAACTAACAGACTGCTGAAAGAAGAAGGCAATGCTGCCAAGGAAACTGATTTGATCTTCAGATACAAGGCCAAGGATGTTAAGAAAAAATATCTAAACAGTCTATACCATTCCAGGTAAATACTTTAATGTAATATATTCTAGGTAAATATTTTGATGTAATATATTCGAGGTAAATATTTTGATGTAATATATTCGAGGTAAATATTTTGATGTAATGTAATCCAGGTAAATATTTTGATGTTATATATCCCAGAGCTAGCTCAGGGTGAGCTTTTAGGATTGTTAATGTCTGTCATCATACCACACTTGTTCCTTAACACTCAAGTGGTCACATTTTTGACTCAATTGTCATCAAACTTGTTCAGGATGCTTTTCTAGGTAATAGCTCGGATGAGTTTGAACATGGGTCATCTCGGATGAAAACTAGGTCATAGGAGCTAAAAATAGATAAATCTTGTTAACACTCTAGTGGTCACATTTTTGACTCAATTGTCATCAAACTTGGTTAGGATGCTTTTCTAGGTAATTGCTTAGATGAGTTTGGGTCATCTCCGATGAAAAACTAGGTCACAGGAGCTAAAAATAGAAAAATCATGTTAACACTCTCGTGGCTACTGTTTTGATCCAATTATCCTTGAAATTGGTCTGAAAGTTTGTTTTGATGATTTCTAGGTCAAATTTGAATACGGGTCACCTGGGGTGAAAAAACTAGGTCACACTGCCCAAATATGGGAAAACCTTGTAAACACTCTAGTGGTCACATTTTTGACTCAATTGTCATCAAATTTGGTTAGAATTCTTGTCTAGTTAATTGCTCGGATGAGTTTGATTGGTCAGGTGAGTGATCTAGGGCCATCTTGGCCCTCTTGTTATATTTTCAGGTGGGTTACAAAGTGGCTAAAGAAGACAATTATTTGAGAGAGCCAATGGTATAATAACATAATAACAAAGAATATCTTGCAAGTGGGACATGAGGCAAAACAGACATACTTGATGTTTAATTCAGAGACTTTATCCAGTTGATGAACTGGTAAGTGAGTTTTAGAGTTTACTGCTTGTGATTCTCTTTAATATTTAATGAACTTTGTCTTTTTGTGTCCCCTCTTTGGGGGGGGGGGGATTTAGATTTACCCTTGTCAGTCCGTCCATCTGTCCTTCCATCCATCTGTTCTCATATTGTGTCGCACAAAGCTCACAAGTATTTGACTAAGAGTCATGAAACCTTACAGGAATATTGCTCAGCATGTGAAGTTGTGCACCTGGGGTTTTGCTTGTGGATTTATTCTGTTTTATTTGAGTTATTGCCCTTGACTTAGTAAAAGTTTGCAATATTCAACTGGTTAATGCATAGCTCAAAATGTATTTGACCTGCAGGCCTGAAAGTTTACAAGAATGTAGGTCAACATGTGTACTCATGCACCTTGGAGTTGGCTTGTGGATTTATCCAGTATTTGTAGATGTATTGCCCTTTACTTAGTAAAAACCATTTCATTATGTGTTATTTGTTCTTTGAGTGCTTGAGTCAACCAACTTTACAGGAATAATGATCAACATCACTGTGAAGCAATGCACCTGGGATTTTGCTTGTGGATTTTTTTCAGTTTTATTAGAGTTATTGCCCTTGACTTATTATAAATTTGCAATTTTCAACTTGTTCATGCATAGCTCAAAAAGTATTTCACTTGTAGGCCTGAAAGTTTACAAGAATGTTGGTGAGCATGTGTACTTGTGCACCTTGGGGTTCGCTTGTGGATTTATTCAGTATTTGTAAAGTTGTTTCCCTTTACTTACAAAATGTAGTAAAAGATATGGTAGTTTTTAAAGTTGAGTGAAATAAAACAATTCATTTCTTTTAAGAATATGATTTAAAACTGTAATATTGTATGAATAATTACATGCAAAAAAAGATAAAGTAAATAAACATGTTTATGCAGAAAATATCTCTCTATATTATCACTATTATGGCAGATGCCACTTAGTACGTTTTAGCATGGACAGAAGAAGTTCCAGATTTTATACATTTTCTTTATAAACAATTTTTTTTTGTAAAATTTGAGATAGATATTAAAGGAATATTGATAATTTTCAAACTTATCAGGTTTTTCCTCATTAAACGGTAAAATAATGATAGAAAAATAGAAATATCACATTATAGTGTAAGTTACTTAATAAGTAATAATTCCACAGAGCTAAATCCCTAACATAACGAAAAACAGTGTTAAATTACGTTTTCAAAAAGGTCAATTAACCAATTGTGTACGGTTTACAGATCACATGCTCCTGCATGTACCGAAAACAGGTCACGTGCTCCTCCATGCCTCAAAAACTAATTGCATACCAATACCTGTGGAATGGCCCTTTGTAGTGCAATAAAATATTTAAAGACGTTTTCGGGAGTTTTCATATAGAGGCAAAATTAAAACTGTTCAATAGAATTTATTTAAACTTGTTGTTAGAATATGATAATGGAAACATTTTAAGCGAAAAAAATTTAGGGGTCACTGTCCTTGTTATTAAGTTGTCTGCCTCTGAATTGGACTTTAATGCTTAAATGAAGTGCATATAATTATGTTTCCCAAAAATTTTGGGAGACGTTTTGTTTTAACCTTAGCCGTCTGTCTGTCCATCTGCATTAAGCTTGTCCAGCCTTCACAGGTCAATCTCCTTGTGGGATTTCAACCAGACTTTACAGGAGGTATCAGTACCATCCCTAGTTGTACACATCAGCGGCACATTCTGCCTCACTGCACAAAATGGCTGCCAGAGCTAAAATTAGAAAAATCTTTTCCGGCCTTTACAGGTCAAACTATTAGTGGGATTTCAACCAAACTTTACAGGAGTGATCAGTACCATCCCTAGTTGTGTACATCACTGGCATGTTCCCCTTTGCTGCACAAAATGGCGACCAGAGCTAAAAATATAAAAATCTTGTCCGGCCTTCACAGGTCAAAACTGAAGGGATTTCAACCAAACTTTAAAGAAGTAATCAGTGCACATGGCCGGCACATTCTGTTTAGCTGCACGAAATGGTTGCCAGAGCTAAAATACAAAAAATCTTGTCTGGCCTTACTAAACTTTACAGGAGTGATCAATACCATCCGTAGTTGTGTACATCTCCAGCATGTTCCACTTCACTGCACAAAATGGCCGCCAGAGCTAAATTTAAAATATAAAAATCTCATCCTGCATTCACAGATCAAACTATTAGTGGGATTTTAACCAAACTTTACAGGAGTGATCAGTACCATCCCCAGTTATGCATATCGCCGGCACATTTTGCTCTGCTGCACAAAATGGCCGCCAAAGCTATAAATAGAAAAATCTTGTCTGGCTTTCACAGGTCAAGCTGCTCTTGGGATTTCAATGAATATTCACAGTAGTGATCATTACCATCCATAGTTGTGCATATCCCTGGCATGTTCTGCATCGCTGTATTAAATGGCAGTCAGAGCTATAAATAAAAAAAATCTTGTCATACTTTCACAAGTCAAGTCAAATGGGATTTCAGTGGAACTTCACATGAGTGACCATACATAGTTTTGGGAGAGATATGTTTTTGATACAAAAATCCTTCTAGTTAACAATGAAAGTAAAAAATACCAATTTTTTGCTTATTTTATATAGTTAACGTCTAGTTGAGTCAATGTGAAAAATTTCAATAAAGAAGATAGGCTTTTTTCCACTTTCTTACAAAAGGGCTATTTTTAGCTCGACTATTCAATAAGAGTAAGTAGAGCTATTGTAGTCCCCCAAGCGTCGGCGTAACCACTTGTCCATTGACATTTGAAACTTTGCACATTTGTTCACCATCATGACCCCAAGCTGAAGACAGGAGGAGGTAACTGTATCAAGCATTTTGACAGAATTATGCCCCTTTTTCGACTTAGAATTTACGTTAAAAATTTTGTAATCCCTCAAATATTTTCAAAGTCCATTGACATATGGCTTTGAAACTTTGCACACTTGTTTACCATTATGACCCCAACCTGTAGACAGGAGGAGGTAACTGTATCAAGCATTTTGACAGAATTATGCCCCTTTTTCAACATACAATTTTCAATGAAGTTTTTGTAATACTTTAAATATTTTCAAAGTCCATTGACATATGGCTTTGAAACTTTGCACATTTGTTCACCATCATGACCCCAACCTGTAGACAGGAGGAGGTAACTGTTTTAAGCATTTTGACAGAATTATGCCCCTTTTTCGACTAAGAATTTACCTTAAAGCTTTTTTAACACCGAAAATATTTTCAAAGTCCATTGACATATGGCTTTGAAACTTTGCACATTTGTTCACCATCATGACCCCAACCTGTAGACAGGAGGAGGTAACTGTTTTAAGCATTTTGACAGAATTATGCCCCTTTTTCGACTTAGAATTTACCTTAAAGTTTTTGTAACACCGAAAATATTTTCAAAGTCCATTGACATATGGCTTTGAAACTTTGCACACTTGTTCACCATCCTGACCCCAACCTGTAGACAGGAGGAGATAGCTCTATGAAGCATTTTGCAAAATAATGCCCCCTTTTCGACTTACAATTTACATTTAAGTTTGCATACCACCTCAGATATTTTCATATTCTATTGACATCTGGTTTTTTAAACAAGTTGAAATTTTATACTCTTCTTTGAGAGCATGATAGGACTCTCTTCAAGGCCTATAACTGTAACATGGATTTAAAGAAAAATATTTCTCTTTTGTTAACTTAGAAAATTTTACATTATCAAGGCTTTTTTACTATCAAGCACTAAGAATAGTCGAGCGTTGCTGTCCTACCAACAGCTCTTAATTGTTAAAGAATTTTAAGTCCCTTTATTCAGACTGAAAAAAAAATTAACAAATAAGATCACAATACATAATTACCTGTAATTATGTATTGTGATCAACAAAAAAAAGAAAAACATCCAGAAGTAAAAACAAGATTATATAGACATATACTAAGTAATCTGTCAACAAAAAAAGAAAAACATCCAGAAGTAAAAACAAGATTATATAGACATATACTAAGTAATCTGAAATAACCTCAAATCAGTAAAAAAAATTCTGATTCAAGGACAGATCATTCAGAAGTGACTCTCAAATTTGTTTTGCTTAAAATGTTTCTATTATCATATTCTAACAACATGCC